GCGACCCTGCAGGAGATAATCAGAAAATTAATTCTTCACAGAGTTTTAATGTTCAAAGCACAGTGTCCTAGTGTGACAGAACTCTAATCTACACCTCTGTTTTGCAACAGAAGTTTCCCCTCTGTCACTCCAAAGAACCACGTAATCATGCTCCATCATTGCTAAAGGTTTGAGGATGACGCCTTGTCACAGAGCTCTTTCCTTGATAGCCCTGGCATCTGTTCTAAGTGTGCCTGAGGGTGGCTGGGAAGACTGAGCAGTTACTCCCAGAGGCTCTTCCCCATGCACGTCAAATGGGAAGACCTTGAGATGTCAGACTTAGCCTCAGAGCCTCCTATGGAGTATGTGACCAGGACATCAGGAGAGCAAGTTCTAGTCCCAGCCCTGTTGCTGCCTCCACTGGGACCCGAACCAACTGCTTTCCTTTCTCCAGGTCTCAATTTCCTGCCACATAAAATTATGAATTTGGCTCAGAGGTCAACTGCACTTGAACCGATCCTGGTCCATAACGCAGTTCTCACAGAAATGAGGAAAGATAAGGACTGTGTAGCAAGTCCCTCTTAATGTCAGACACATTCAGTCTTAAGGACTGTCCTTTAGCTTGACCTCAGGTCTATCTAATACATAATGTTACAACTTCATTTTTTAAATTAAATAATGGCACGAATAAATGACAGCTGAATTTAGGTCTCAGATTGGCAAAATTAAAAGCGGTAAAAAAAAATCAACACTTTATGAGTCCTCAAAGTATCTTTTGAAGTGTACTGGTCTATATAAAACGGAAGGGGTTGGGAAACACTGGAGTGGGTGGTCTCTACGCTCTCTACTGTGGCACCTGCAGGCAGTAAGTTCATCACAATCTTAAAAAAGGAGTAGTCAATAGTCAGCTTTCAATTTTTTAATGGCTCTCGACTTTGGTTGCACCTTGATTCACTTGGCAACCTTTAAAAAAATACTGAACCCCAAAGTACATCTCACGCAAACAAATGAAACCAGTGTCCAGGGGTGTAGCCTGGCATGGGCACTTTGTTAAAAAGATCCATAGAGAGTGATGCCAATGTGCAGCCCAGAATGAGAGCCCCTGAGTGAGATGTTTGCAGGCCTGACTGTACAATAGAATTGTTGGGGGGATCTTTTATAAAAATGAAGATTCCTAGACTGTACTGCAGCCACACTAACTAGAAAACTCTATGGTCCAGGGAATTTATTTTTAAAAGCTTCCCAAGTAAGTATATTATTTCAAGCTTCAAACTGGTATTTAAAAATCATAGGTAGCTATTAGACATTAAAAGTAGAAAGGTCTCAGGAAGGTTCATCTATCACATCTGAGGTCACATCTGAAATGTCAACATTTAGGAATCATACATTTCTCCATGGCATACTCCTGCCTTGGAGTATCCTATCCAGGAGGCCAATAACCTAGGGGAAACCCCTTTCATCTCAGCACCCCTGAATTCATGGAATTGGAGAAAGGATGGATGGGTAGGTGATACAGAAAGAAGCAGGAAAGTGATAGGAACACAGGTTTCTCTGCCCACTCCTTTGGCCCTGGGCATGTCATAAGTTTGAGCTGCTTTTTAAGAGTGTTGGCCATGATGTAGACCATCCACACACCCTCTCAAATGGATCTGTAGGTCCCTAAGCACAATGCAGCCAGCCCACAGGCCATCAAGAATAGAGGCAACCTCCCAATGACAGCATTCATGTTAGGCCAGTTACACTGTATACCCAGAAGTAAACTGTTCAGCAAAGCACTGATTGTCTACAATTTACATTTTTATCAGATTAAGCTTCCTTTTGAGATGCTAAAAACTTTGTTTGCAGTGTTTCTAAGCAAAGCTTAAAGGAGTTGGGGACCTTCACAAAATTATATTAAATGTACAAAGGATTTTTCATGAATGAAATGATTGAGACAAGATCTACTATAACACAGACTAGTGATAAATGGAAACAAAAAGGTATTCATACACAAAGAGTGTGCTTGTCCCTCCAAGTGCCCATAAAATCCTCATGGAAATAGCCAAGGTTAGACTAATATCAAGGATGAAATTATTATACCCAAAAGGCCTCCAACCTAAAGCATCAACCCCACCAGTCTGCTTTTCTTAGACCCACCTCCCAGCCCAGAGTGAAGCTGTAGTTGTTTAGAAAAGGGAGTTAACAAGATTGGAGGACACTAAGCTGACCCCTGGGGGAAGGATCACAGAACTTACACATGTTGATAAACCATTCAATCATAATGGTAATAGCCAACTTTCTTGAACCCCTATTCTGCACTATTCTATTCACTTTTAAAGTATTCATTCATTTACTTTTTACAAAAATACTTTAAGGTAAGTGCCATTATTAGATGCCTTTTTTAAAGAAAGTGAGACAAAGATAGCTAGTTACTTCTACACAAACACCCAAGTAGTATTTGTTGGTGTCAGCATCCAAACCTAGACAGACTAGTTCTAGGAACATGTTCCTAGCACTGAGTTAGACACATGGAGATATAATGGTGGGAAGTACCAGAGTCTTGGGATACTAAAGGGTTAAGTTTGAGGCCAGGGAGGCAGTGGGAAAGGTGTGGGAGGTGAGGCAGGTTGTCTACTGATCTGGTGGCCTTGAGAAGTTCTTTCCACTCTCTAGCATCAGTTCACCAATCTGAAAACCATGAAGATGATCTAAATATTGTCTAAGGTATTTTTAGCTTAAAAAGCATCAAAAACATGAAGTAGGTGTGACCTACATCATGTACAACCTGAGAAATGAAATAGTTGTGCTGCAATTGTGTACAATGAATCAAAATGCATTCTGCTGTCATATATATCTGATTAAAACTAATTAATTTTAAAAAGACATGAAGTAGTGGACCAGCCTCTAGAGCTCAGTGGATTAGTTTCTGTATGGTAGGGAAGGGGTGGTTTTAAAGAGGGAGAAGCAAATACCTAGAAAAAAGATGGAAACAGTCATTTGTGCTGCTCTATACACTGGCAAGACCTAAACAAGGCAACCTTACCTATAATGTGAGAAGCCTTTGTACAATCCATAAGAGAGGGCAAAGGTCAAATATAGGAATGGCTTTCCCTCTGCTCCTTTATGAGTTTTGCTTTAAATGATGTATCAGCTGACACTATAAAAGGAATTAAAGAGTTTGAAGCAGGGACTTTGCTGGTCATTTGAGTGTACATGTTCCCAACAGCCAACAGCATCAAATATTCATCCCCATCTGAAAGTAACCCTGCCAAAGCATCAGAAAAGTGCATTTGCTAAATACCTAAACATCTGGACAGCAGCCTTTCCAGAGAAATCAGAGCCAGAGAGAGCAAAGCCAGAGCTCAAAGTGACAGTGTAACTAGCTTAAGCAGATGAAAGGACAAAGGTGGCCAGAAAACATTATCCCAGCCAGGCCTGCCATTGAGTGGGGCAGGCTGGTACCAGGAGAGCCTTGGCAGGAAGTCTGTTGTTTACAGCAATTGCCTCAGCTGACAAACAAAATGTGTTGGTCTCGCCATCTTGTTCCAAGGTCAAAAATGAACCTCCTGTTCCATCTTTATCCCAATCAAAAACTCTGATTCTAGGCCATTCTTGGAGCCTTGGCAAAGCATAACCAACACCCTTTGTGTTTTGCTGCACTTCTGTAGATTAGCTTGGAACTGTTCCCATGACAGCAATGAACCTGGGACCCAATGCTGCTCTGGGTGAGCATACACCACAGCTCCCAGTGGCACCAACACCCTTCTCTTTCTTTCTCTAACTCTCTCTCTCTCTCTCTCTCTCTCTCTCTCTCTCTCTCTCTCTCTCTCTTTCTCTCTTCCTTCCCTCCCATGACTTCCTTGAAATAAATGTATTGAAAATAGTCTGCCAGTTCCTCAAAAAGGTAAACATAATGTCACCATACAACCCAGCAATTCCATTCCAAGATGTAAGATTGGAAGACATAAACCTAGAAAATTGAAAACTCAAGCCCATGCAAAAACTTGTACATTAATATTCATACTAGTCTATTATAATGGCCAAAAAGTGGGAATAGCCCAACTGTCCATCAATGGATGAATGAATAACAAAATGGTATCCATTCAATATTATTCAGCCATAAAAATAATGAAGCATTAGTACATGCTACAACATGGGTGAATCTAGAAAACATAGAAAATTTTAAAAATTATTTCCAAAAGACCATATATAGTATGATTCCATTTACTTAAAATATCCAGAATAGGCGAATATATGAAGAAAAAATAGTCACATGTTTAGTTTTGGATTGACGGTATAAAAAAGTGACTGCTAATAGGTATTGTGTTTCTTTCCAAGGAAAAAGAATGTTCAAAAATTAGATTATGATAGTAGTCGCACCACCCTCTGAATATACTAAAACACATTGAATCATATACTTCAAATGGATGAATGACATTGTATATGAATCATATTCAATACAGATATTTTTAAATGAACATATTACTTAAATATGCTTTATAGTACAATACAATAAAGCTTGCAGGGTATTTAAAAGGATTATGTTCTTCACAACTTTAAAGAAAATGGAAGTGAAGTTTCCATTACCACCTTATTCCTTTTGTCACTAGATATACTCTCACAAAAGTAGATAATAATTACCCAACACTTTTCACCTCAAATTTTAATCTCAAACAAATATAATCAGATATTTTATAGCTACGAGGTCCAAGAAAAGGATGGTGTTAACCAAAAACAAGGATAGAAATTGGGCATATTGAAGTATTTTTTAAATTTTTGACATAATCAGATAAAATAGAAAATTATTTGCCCCAAAGAATAGTAAGAAGCAGGATAAAATCTTCTGCATACATTGTTAGATACCTGCCTGCCTTCCAAGAAGCAGGGTTGATGTCCTAGAACTTCAGGATTCTTCTCTAGTCACACTGCCTGGAGGAAGGGACAAAGTGTTCAACCTGCTTCCCAGAACTACCGAGATGTTCAATGCCAGGGACATAGAAGATGCTCAAGTTCTGTTCACTGTGGCTCACCTGGCCCTTGGCAGGATTGCTTTCAGAATATAGTGTCTCTTTGGTGCCACTGGTGCTTTAGAACGTTGGCTGAGTGACCTTGGGCAGATTGTTTGACTTCAGTGGAGCTCAGCTTCTCAGCAGGAAAATATAGTTGCCCTCTGTCTCTGTGGGCTTCTCATCCATGGATCCAACTAACCAAGCATCAAAATATATTTTTAAAAATTGAGCCTGTACTGAGCATCTATATACTTTTTTCTTGTCATTATTCTCTAAATAATATAGTATAAAAGCTATTTACATAGCATTTACGTTGTATTAGGTATTATAAACAATCTACAGATAGTTAAGAGTATATAAGAAGTAACAGATGTGGAGGTGCACTCCTGTAATCCTGGTAGCTTGGGAGGCTGAAGCAGGAGGATCACGAGTTCAAATGTTAGCCTCAGCAACTTAGTGAGGCCCTAAGAAATTTAGCAAGACCCTGTATCTAAATAAAATATAAAAAGGGCTGGGGATGTGGCTTAATGGTCGAGTGCCCCAGGTTCAATTCCCAGTACCAAAAAAATACAATAACATAAGTATACAAGAAGCAGTTGGAATAACAATTGTCAAAAAGACAAAAATGCTGATGAAAATGTGGGAAAAGGGAAATTCTCATTCAGTGTTGGTGGGAATGTAAATCGATACAATCACTATGGAGAATGGTATGGAGATGCCTCAAAAAACTAGAAATAGAACTACAATATGATCCTGCAGTTCTGCTACTGGCTATATATCCAAAGGAATTGAAATTGACATGTTAAAGAAAGATCTGTACTCGCATATTTATTGCAGCACTGTTCACAATAGCCAAGACATGGAATCAACCTAGGTAAGTGTCCAATAACAGATGAATAGACAAAGAAAATATGGTATATATATATATATATATATATATATATATATATATATATATATAATAAAGAATTATATAATATATATTATATATTATATAAATATATATATTATAAAGAATATATATATATTATAAAGAAAATGTGTGTATGCAATGGAATATTATTCAGCCACAAAAAGAATGAAATTCTGTCATTTGCAGCAACATAGATGAAACTGGAGGACATTATGTTAAGTAAAATAAGTCAGGAACAGAAAAACAAATATGAAATCTTCTCACTTACATATGGAAGCTAAAAAATAAATGATCTCAAATAAATGGAGAATAGAATAGTGTGGTTACCAGAGCCTGGAAACCTGGGGGAGGGAAGGATGGAAGAGGATGGTTAATGGGTACAAGGATACAGTTGAATAGAAGGAATGACTTCTAATGTTCTACAGCACTGTGGGACAACGATGGCTGACAACAATTAATTAAATATTTCAAAATAGCTAGTAGAGGGGATTTTGAATGATCCCAATATACACATACAAAAATGACAAATGTCTCAGGTTATAGTTACCAAATCTTATCATTACACATTGTACAAATTTGTCAAAGCATCGTGATGTACACCATAAGTATGTACAATTGCTATTAATTAAAAATAAAACTATATTCAAAATAGAAATTAAGTATATGGGAGGAAGTGCATAGGTTATATGCAAATCTATGTCATTTCATTTAAGAGACATAAGCATCCACAGACTGGGTGTTTTGAGGGGGGTCCTGGGCCCAAACCTATGTGAACACTCAGAGACAACTGTGGTTCCCGCCATGCAGTCTCAGAAGCTGCAAAATACTTTGAAAAGATAAATACTTTTCAAGTGAGAAAGTGTGTCATAACAGATCTCCATCTTGAAACAATGGTGTATCAACCCTAAGGCATTAACTTTCAGGCCTGAGGATATCTGTGAGCCTTCGGAGGACTCACCACTGTGATGTGGGGAAGAGTCCTCAGTATTCAAACCACCTCAGGCTCTTAGAATCAAAGAACCTTACTATCAAAAGGAACTTAGAAAGTATCTAGATGCAAGAAGTCCCTTCTGGTACTTGCATCCTCTCCACCACTACCACGACAAATAATTCAGTCAAATCCATCAACTTTGTGCTCTGATCAGCATTACACCCTTTTCTACTCAAAAGGCAGATCCTGGCAGACCTACTTAAGAAACTCAACTACATTCAATCCAAAAGATCTTTTGTACCCAGATATGGGTACAAATTGTGGATGGAGGCCCTGCAACAGAGGTAAGGGGAAGAAAGAGTTATCCCTCTAACCATCTTGGCCCACCCAGTATTAATGAGAAGTAACTCATCAACAGGAGGGAAAGCTTGTTAGCCTTGGCTTTGAGTTTGTATGGATGGTAAAATAGTGTCCTCAAGGGTTCAGACTCAAGTGTTAGCAATGTTCACCTCTTTCAGTTCTCCCTAAGGTACATGACAATATGGTGGCAGAGGCAGAGGAATAAAAGGAAGTGAGTTTAGGGGCAGGAAGGTGGATCTAGGATCTAGGATCTCTACTAAAAAGATGAAACCATAATCAATCCCACTATTATGTATAATTATAATGCACCAATTAGAATTTTTTCAAGAATTAAACCCAACTTAGAACACCCAAATGTTTTTAGCTCTCAGCTCATGCGAATATTTCAACTCAATTCAACAAGGCTGCATCAGGATCAGTCATGTGCTGGGCATTAAAGATTCAAAAATGAATAAGACTTATTTCCTGGCCCTAATAGAGGCCACTGCACCTTTTGGAGGAGGCAGAAATGAAAACAACTACATCCATCAGAATTGCATTATTCTGCATGCAACAGAGCCCTGGGAAATAGAGGGAGAGATTCAGGGCTGCCTGAGAACATTGCCCCACTGAACAACTTCAGGATCTGTGATGTGACATGAAGAGGGGAGGAACACAGATTTAGGTGGACAACTAGTCAGTCTGCCACAGCAACCAATTCTAATACAGTATTGGTGGTGAGGGGTATACCCAAAACTGCAACCAAATGTCATGGAAGCATAAAGAAAGGAATGTCTGATTATTGTAGATGGAGTGGAAATAGGGTATCTAATTATGCTAGAGAATTTTTTCACAGTGGAAATGACAACCAAGCTAGGCATATGCCTCTTCTGGCAATGGCAGAAGCACAAGTAAGAAAAAGAAAATCTTACAAGCTTCTTAAAGCCAAGGCTTGGAACTACCACATCATCACTTCTACCCCATTCTATTAGCTGAAACAAGTCTTGTGGTCAAACTCAAAATTAAGGGGTGGGAGATCTTCTTCTCCTCTTTTTTGGTAGGAACTGCAAAGACTGAGGTGAACGGTGTAGGTTCAGGAAGGAGTAAAAAATTAGGAACCTAATGTACTCAAAGATGTATCTTTAAAAAGATAGATAATTATTCTATCAAGAGTGGGCAGGAGAAAGGAAAAAGCATGGGTAGAGAAACTAGCTTGGATTATGGTTACACAGACACTCCCTCCACTGACAATAGGCATTCTGTTATGCGTCAGCACCCATGGTAAGTTAAAATGTCCTAAGTGGAAAGTGCATTGCATTCAACTAACCTACCAAAAGCCTAGCAGTACAGGATACTGCAGAGTATCAGTTGTTTGCTGTCATGATCCCATGGCTGACTGGCAATTGTGGTGCAGCTGCCCAGCCTTGCAAGAGAGTATCAGACCACATATCACTAGCCCAGGAAAACATCAAAATTCAAAGTTCAGTTTCTGTTGACTGCATATTGATTTGGACCACAATAAAGCAGAAAAATGGTAAGTCAGGCCATTGTAAGCAGGGGACTCTCTGTAATGCATCCAGGAGATGACAAGAACATGAACTGAAGCAGTGGCATTTGCTGTGGAAGAGAGAAGAGACAGAAGATGTCTTAACTGCTTCTCCACTGGGAGAGCTTTGACTGTGAGAAATAACTAGATGAAAACCCACCAACAGGCATTGCCTGGTGATATTGATTGAGCTGTGTTGGGCTATCAATTTCTAGCATTACTTCCCTGGGTTACAAGACATGACTGTTTATCTTCTGTCTTCGATCTGAAGCAGGATGATTTTTTGCTAGAAAAGTGTAAGAGATAAATGGGAGCCCATGGATGGCCACCCAGCAGGACTCATGATAGAGCTCCTGCTGAGGTCAGAGGGCATAATTCACTTTTTTACTCCTTTCTTGGCAGCTCCACGCAGGTATCACAGTCTCTATAGCACTAAAGTCTCAGCCATATGCATGACGCTGATTATATTTTTCTTTCACTATTCATGGTGAGCCTGGCCTCATCAATATCTTAGATTTCTCAATTAACCAGAGTCCCGCTTCTCTGGTTGGGTACACAGAATAAGTAGAATGAAGACGTCTTACCATAACTGTATTTTGTTCCAGTTACTCTGCCTGTATCACAAGGGCAAATGTTACTTACCAGTTCCCACCTGTGTAGCGACTGTTGGGAATTAGACTTAGTAGCCAGAGTGCTGCGTCTTGGGGAAACAATGGGCTGCCTCCATTTTCTCTGGCAATACTCTGTCAGTCAAGCTGCCTTGGTGCTGGTGAGTCCAAGTGTCTAATTCATCAACTACTCTTCAGTTTGCTGATAGGGGAAGGAGATCTTCAATTAATAGGTCCACTCTCTGTAACTATTTTTATACTTTTCTAAATGTATTGAGAAAACTTATCAGGATAAATTTGGCATCACAGAGAAAATAGAGGCTTGAAGATAGGTTCAAATACTAATCAGGCTACTTATTATCAATGAGATACTAAAGTCATTGAATATTACTCTGAATTGTCCTATGTATAAAATGGGAACAATGATAATTTATATGACCCAGTGGTTATTAGGGTCAAATAAGATTAAGCAGATGGAAATATTTTATAAATAATACTACATACAGGGACCTTATAAAAGAATTCCAAGAAACCTATGACATTTCCTTGTATTCCAATTCCTTAATTCCAGTCATAATGATTATCAGCAAAAAAAAGTATTTTCAACATATCTAATCCAATATCCCAATATCTAGTCTTATTTCAGTGTACTCACATTTATTTTTCTTTCTAAAGCAAAAAAAAATTTCAATTTATGCTTCTTTTAAAATCATAACTTTTGGGGCTAGGGTTGTGGCTCAGCGGGAAAGCACTCACCTAGCATGTGTGAGGCACTGGGTTTGAGCCTCAGCCCACATAAAGATAAATAAATAAAGCATAATAAAATAAATAAATAAATAACATAACTTTATATTGTGTGTGGCATTCCATTTTCACTACCACATTTGAGAAGGATATTAACAAATGAAGCCATTTTAGAGAAAATTGTTCAAGATTGAACAGATAAATACTTAGAAGGAACAGAATGGAGTAGGCAAAAGAACACTACTCTGTAGGTAGAGATACAACAATGATTAAGGTCAGATACTCAAAGGATTTCTATGAATTTGAAGGGTGAGGTTTTTGTGGTTTTGATTTGGTCTGGTTTTTGTAGGTCCTTGTCTTAGCTCAAGTTCCCTAGAAAACAGAGAGCATAACATGAGAATTAAGTTCTGAGACTCTATTTGAGAAGCATGATCCCAGGGCAATGACAAGGAGGGGAAACAGGCATGCATACCATGTGACATGTTAATATACTGAATGGTTAATGTACATCATGTGGTGTTACATGTTAATGCGCATCATGAACCATGAAGAGACACAGCTGGTCATTTGTACGGTGCACTTACTTGGTCACATAAGGTGTTCTTAAACAGAGATGATGGCAACACTGTGCCTAGGAACAGTCTGTGAGAGGAGGCAAGGGAAGGATATTTACCCTCCTATTATTTGTTTTCCATTGATAAAAATCTGACCACATGGAGAATTAACTCCTCTGCATTTCCAGATTGTATTATCTGGCCCATCAGCAGTTATTTGTGATGTCAGGTCCCATACCCCTTGGAAGTGGCAGATATAGCCAGAAACCCTAGATGCATAACTGGTTAGCCATGCTACATAGCACCAAAGAGAGGGGCTATCTCCTAGGTGAGTGGGACCCAGGAAATGAAACCACATGGACCCAAACTGAGTCAGTGGCTCTGGTGGCCTTAGAGTGCTATCTAGCTATGAGTGGTCTCTCAGAGAAGGAAAGACATAATGTGGCTGAGGTGGACAAGCAGGTGAGGGTCTCAGAGATTTGGTTACCAAGAGAATCAGAAGAGGCATAGAAAAAGTGTTCTCTGAAAGCTCCCTTATTCAATATTTTTTGGTATCTAATAGGTACCAGGCCAGCTAGACTCTGAGACTACACAAGGAAGAAATAAAACCCATTAAGTCATGGCCACTTCCCAAAGACACAACCCTGTAGATGCAACAGATACATAAGCAAACACTGCAATATAAACTGATAAGGATTATGTAGATGCTGACACGAGGTAGAGTGGAGGCATAATGAAGATGCATGAGAGAGAACGCTGCTGCTTCAGGAGATGGGAAAAGTGCCAAAGAGCTATGCAGATATCAGCATTTGTTAATATCCTTCTCAAATATGCCACTGAAAATGGAATGCCACATGGGGCTGCTTCACAAAGTGGTAGATTTCTTGTCCCTGAGGTGTCTGCATACCTGGTGGCCAACCTAATATGCCTTAGGACAAATGCATTCAGTGATTTGGACCTCCAGAACCAGATAGTTCAGTTTGTGAGAAACTATCATTAAATATCTACCTCTGAGGATCCCATTTAAGCTGACAGTTTTATTTCAGTTTTACTAAGACCACACCCTAAACCCCATTCATTTATATTGTAAACATAGGTCATCAGTCACTAAGAAGGCAGCATGAGAGTGTGAAAGACTGCCTAACTGCCTCTACTAGGAGAAACAGTTCATACCAGCAACAGTCAACTGGAAAACAAAATAGAAAATAAGGTATCAAGTAGGGCACGGTGGCACATACCTGTAATCCCAGCAGCTGGGGAGGCTGATACAGGAAGATCATGAGTTCATAGCCAGCCTCAGCAAAAGCGAGGTGATAAGCAATTCAGTGAGACCCTGTCTCTAAATAAAATACAAAATAGGGCTGAGGATGTGGCTCAGAGGTCAAGTGCCCCTGAGTTCAATCCCTGATATTAAAAAAAAAAGAAAGAAAGAAAAAGAAAATAAGGTATCAGCCAATATAGTAAAAAAAAAACAAAATTATAAATCTGTCCAAAGAATACATAAAATATAGAGAATTTTTGTGGATTCAAAAATTAAAACAATTAGAGGCTGGGATTGTGGCTCACTGGTGGAGCACTCGTCTAGCGGGTGTAAAATTTATCTTTATGTGTTGCTGGGTTGGAGGCCCAGCAACACATAAAGATAAACAAATAAAGGTATTGTCCAACTACAACTAAAACATAAAGATATAAAAAAAATTTTTAAAAAATTAAAACAATTAAAAAGTATCAAAGAAGATATGAAAAAGTAAAGAAATATACCATATTGTTAGATAGGACAACTTAGTGCAAAAAAATGACAATTATTACTAAATTAATCTATAAATTCAATACAATTCCAATAAAATTTTATTTTTTTAACATGTAAATATTTTATAATTTATTCACATATATTTCCCCATAAAATAACTTGCACTTAACTGCTTAAAAATATTTGTCTAACACTACATTTTAATTTTGTACTACAATCATTGTATCACCTGCTGCTAAAGAATTTACAGAAAGTATATATTTAAAATATTATTCCAAACAACTATTTAGCTAAATACTTCAACAATTATCAAGCAGATATCTCCTTTAACTGTAGGATTAACTTTATCAACATTGCCAATCTACCAAAGAACTATAGTTTTGGATTTGTTTATACCTGCAACTTCATTAATTTTAGTAAATATTCTGAATAAAAAAGACATTTTAAGTCAAGTCACACATCTACTGCTATAAGTTGTCAAATTGATAAATGCCTTTCAAGTAAGGTCTTGCTTTGACTTTGGATTAATGGCTTTAAAGTAGGTAAAATATTAAACATCCTTATTAAATATTGAAATGTGTATTTATAATAAAAATATTTAAGATTCCTTAAATGTTAATTACTATTTTATCTCAAAATTTTTGAGCTGGAAGGGACAAGGAGGATCATTTAATTCAATGTCCTTATATTTAGATGCTTGCTAAAACTGAATTCTTGATCTTTTAAAGGTCAGATAACCTAGACTAGAGCCCAGTTTCCCAATTTATCAGTTTATAGTGTTCTTTTTATTAATCCATGTAGATAGTTATTGTTTTTTTTTTTTTTTTTTTTTGCTGCTGTAACTAAAAGACTTGACCAGCACAATTGTAGAGGAGGGAAAGTTTATTTGGGGGCTCATAGTTTCAGAGGTCTCAGTCCATAGACGGCAGGCTCCATTCCTCAGGGCTCAAGGTGGGGCAGGACTTCATGGCAGAAGAGTGTGGCAGAGGGAAGCAGCTCACGTGAAGCAGCTCAGAAAGCAGAGAGAGCTCCAATAAAATTTTTACAAGAACATTTTTAAGGGATTTGATAAATATAAGATTTATATGGAAGAAAAATGGTGCATGCATAGCAAAATAAATTTTGAGAGCAAAGAGGAGGTATTCGTTCTATGATATTAAGATTTACTACAAGTCAAATATTTTTATAAGGCTAATAATAGTGACACAGAAACAGAGAAAGAGACCAATGGAACAAACTAGAAAGCTCTAAAAATGATATAAAATGAGAATACATCATAAACCAGGGAGAAAAATGTGGGACATTGTCTAAGGGTTGTTGTGGTAACCAGCTGACTATGAAAAGCCAATTTCCTGCCTCAGACTATACATCAGATAAATCCCAAATATGTTAGGGTCCAGGGTGAAAAAGTAAAATTACTAAAATAATGAAAGAAAATGTAGGGAGCATCTTTGTCTCATTAGAATAGAAAAGGACTTCTGAAATAAGATCTAAAAATCATAAAACATATACAAATGTGGTGGATTTGATTACCTCAGCAAAATTATGTTAAACTAAAAAGTCCACAGGCAAAGTTGATGGGGGCAAAAGGGAAGATCTTTCTTCATCTAAACAAAGAGATTGCTATCTACACAATAATAAGAACACTACAAATAAAGGAATGCAATAGAAAAATAAACAGAGAACATGAATAGATAAGTCACAGAAAGATAGGCTGATCATATGATTTATGAGCCAAACCAGTACACTTTAAGAAAGAGGCACTTGGAATGATCATGCAGGGCAACAAGTAAAACCTGGACTGTCCCAGGCAAACCAAGGCATAATAATACCAGATAGAAGAAGAAATTGTAATTACGTATATAACAGATGAAGAAGTACTTAACCTTACTAGTAATAATGCAATTAAATAAATACAAATTAAAATAACAAGATACCATTTTATACCTATCAAACCTGCAAAACTTAGAAAGCCATGTAATACCAATATTGGCTAAGATGGGGTCCACAGGTGACATTCAGTGAGGTAGTCTTTCTAGCAAACACACAGAGGATTTATTATATTATTATTTTATTTATTATATTATTATTTATTATATTTATTATTATTATTTATTATATTATTATTTATTCTTTATTATATTATTTATTATTTATTATTATATTATTTATATTATTTATTTATATTATTTATTATATTATTATTTATTATATTTATATTATTATTTATTATATTTATATATATGATTTATTATATTATTATTTATTATAGTAGATTTATACTATATGATGGAGTAACCTTACTCTTGGGTATACACCCCAGGAAACTTACACCAAAGACCACATGTGGAGATGTGTGAGGAAGTCCATTTGCAGTCCTGTGATAATAGATGGTTAGAGGCAACCTAGGTGTCTATCACTAAGGGATGGATAAGGGGGGAAAAAAGTGATCAGTCCATATCTTGCATCAACTATTACAGAATGAAACAATGACCTGGATGCATACACAGCAGCACACATCTCAAAATCATAATGTTTGGAACAATCAGCAGAGAATGAGATTTGTAACACAAGACCATTTGTGCAATTAAAAGGACATACAAAATAAAACAATGTGTGTGTTTTCAAGGAGAGAAATATACGCTAGGTCATACATAAAATACATTACAGTCATTGCCTTAAAAGGGTGGGGAAGTATGAGAGTAGGGATTGGAAATAAAAGCATTAAATAAGAAAAAAGAAAAGGTTCTTTGACTTCAACTCTTCATAAACTAAAGAGTGTGATTAACTCAGCAATCAAATTCTAAGTTAACCAACAGAAACAAAAGCCTATGCATCCCTACTGAGGATAGATTCAGAGTCTTGTTTTTAAATATGAAGTCCCTAGGTCACCACCAGTTAATCTCCCTCTTCTTCAACCCTTTATTTTCTCTTTCACTATCAAAGCTCTTTGTCTGCAGAGGGGAAGAATTCACTCAATCTAAATTAAGACAAATATGACAGTTTGTGAAAGGCTTAGGGGTGATCCATCTCACCAAACTCAAGGGCATGCCAAACATCAGGCAGGCTCACGAAGAACAGTGACAAAGGATGGAAGCCTATCAGAAACCTGAGCTATTCTCTGTGTCTCCCCAGAATCCAGAAGTTAAAGTCCCGTCTGCATAGTTGCCTTATTTGCTTTGCCTGGTTTGCTTTGCCTCTCTGAGCACTTTGGGTATATGTGTTTCTATTATGGCTTCTGTGTGTGTGTTCTCATTTCAAGGAACCACACAGGCATGACTTAAGTTTCTCAATCCCAAACCAACATGTGAAGGGGACAGATCTGGCTGGCCAGTTTAGTCCAACCATCTGTGATTAGGGGCACAACATCACACAAAGCTACCCTGAGTCTATTCCTTTGAGCAATAAAGATGATGAGAAGTACTTAGGAAAGAGGCTACAGGCTGGGCAAAGACCTCACACCCAATAACAGGGAGCATGACAAGAATATTAAGTTCTGAGACTCCATTTGAGAAGGTAATGACAAGGAGGGGAAACAGGCACCATGTGACATGTTAATATGCTGAATGATTAATGTACATCATGTGATGTTACATGTTAAGGTATATCCACTGCATTTTTGGAGGATTTAATTCAAAAAATTAGAGAATGTTAGAGTTTATTAAAACACAGAGTACATCTAATCTCAGCCCAACATTTTACAGATTAGGTAACTGGGGCTAAATGGGGCTTTTTTAAAAAAAAATAGTACAAATTCAGGCAGTCAAGTAATAATGCAATTGGATCTTTAACTCCCAGTTCAGGGTTTCCTGTCTAACCTTGATGCTACCCAAAAATTACCTTTTATCCAACACCCTAAATAGAATTCAAGTCTCCTGACCAGGAATTTAAATTGTGATAAATCTAAAAACTCCATCAAAATTATGCCTTGGTGTCTATTACATATTTAATGAGTCAATCAAGGGTATGACCCCCATCTGTTGGGCTTTAAAAAATTCAGCTAATGCTCTGGCTGAATCCCTAGAGGTGATTGCAATTCCCTATCTTTTAGTCTCTACAGAGTTTCTTCTGTGTAAATTTTCCTTCTCTTCTTTGATCATGTGCTTCCTTCCCATCCCACTGACTGAGGGAGCCCTAACTAACAGGTGTACCAGGTGCAATGTTAGAGTGGAAAGATCTGGGGAGTTACAATCTTAGAATTGGAAGAAGACTCAGAGGTGATCATTCAAGCCTCCCCAAATTTTACAGATGGGGCCCCACAAGAACTGAGACCCCAAAAGAAGGGATAAGAAACCCAAAGACACATTAAAAAAAATCTATGTAAGCATAACGATAACACATTATAGCGCTCTTCGTTGGCTTTTCCATGACTGGGCTTCAGCTGTTCTGATTTCTGGGAACAACTCACTTATCAGTAGTTGAGGACCCAAATGAGTGAAAGCAAAACCATGGGGTCCTGAGTTGTCACTGCTAATTCAAACATTTAATATTTTAAAAACTTACAAAGGAAGGCTGATGCTGTTGGTCCCCAACCATCTTCTTGAGACATCACTTGTTCAGGTTTTTCCAGTTCATTTGCAATCGCCAGTA